ACTAACATTTCGTATATAAAGTTGTGTAGATAGTGTACCACTCAGTGAGAGACATGAACGATGAAGGCAAGACGGCACACATGTGATTTTTGTAGTGTTACGATATACTTTTTTTGTAATATTGAAAAATGATGGTGGTGTTATGTTACAATATACTACTTTTGTCATATTGAAAGCAAACTATTTATAATGATTGGAATGAGGGATTTTGTCATTGTCTTAGGCTCGATGAATCCATAACAGCAGTTATACTGTTTAATGACAACTTATCCTGCAACTTAAATGAGTTCATCCTGCAACTTAAATGGGTTCAATTTATCATTATCGTGGCTCGGACGGATCACGACTCTTCATAATCGTGTTTAAAGGCAGAACGACACTTGTGCCATTTTCAAAACAGTAACAGCAATTGTGTTGTTTTGTTTTTCCTCTTGATTAAGTAATGAACATAAATACCGAATGTTGTAAGCAGCGTGTTCAGATTGCAACTTAAATGAGTTCAGCTTATCATTATCGTGGCTCGGACGCGTCGCGGCTCTTTATAATCGTGTTTAGAGGCAAAACGACACTTGATACGCTTTCAAAACAGTAACGTCAGTTGTGTCGTTCTATAGATTTTTCCAATATTTTGCTATTTTTCAAGGCAATGACATCAAGAATTGGACTCCCAACCTAAGAAGGAAGAAAATGTTGATTATGTGACAACTAACGGTGGAGTTGATATAGAATATAAGGTATGAAACGGTGAAAACACAAGTCTTAGTCTAGATTCGTTTAAAAGTACAAGTAACAAACATATCTCAAGAATTTTGTAAGCGACGTGTTGAGCCTGCAACTTAAATGGGTTCGGTTTATCAATTATCGTGGTTCGGACGGGTCGTGGCTCTTCAAAATCGATTTTAGTGGCAGAACGACACTTGTGCCGTTAAACGACATTTGTGTCATTCTGTAGATTTTTCCAATATTTTGCTACTTTTCAAGGCAAGGACATCCAAGATTGGACCCCCAACCTAAGAAGGAAGAAAATGTTAATTGTGTGACAACTAGCGGTGGAATTGATATAGAATATAATGTATAAAACGGTGAAAACACAAGTCTTAGTCAAGATTCATTTGAAAGTACAAGCAACGGGCATATCTCCAGAATTTTGTAAGCTGCGTGTTAAGCCTGCAACTTAAATGGGTTCAGTTTATCGATTATCGTGATTCGGAAGGGTCGCGACTCTTCAAAATTGATTTTAGTGGCAAAACGACACTTGTGTCGTTCTGTAAATTTTTCTAATATTTTGCTACTTTTCAAGGCAAAGATATCAAGGATTAGACCCCCCCCAACCTAAGAATGACGAAAATGTTGATTGTGTGACAACTAACGGTGTAATTGATATAGAACATAAGGTATGAAACGGTGAAAACACAAATCTTAGTCTAGATTCGTTTGAAAGTACAATTAATGGGCATATCTCAAGAATTTTGCAAGAGGCATGTTGAGCTTACAACTTAAATGGATTCAGCTTATCGATTATCGTGGTTCGGACGGGTCGCGGCTTTTCAAAATTAGTGTCAGAACGACACATGTGTCGTTAAACAACACTGGTGTTTTTCTGTAGATTTTTTCAATATTTTGCTACTTTTCAAGACAAGGACATCAAGGATTAGACCCCCC